AGGAACAGCACAGGCTGTGCCAGCTGGCAAGAGCTACCTCGGGTCAAGCAAAAACTCATCGCCATCTAGACGCAAAACAATCTACCCGTAACCACACTGTGGGGAGAAAAAAATCAGTGTGTATGGATGTGGAAAAAATATGTAGGACTATAAGGATCCGTGGCCTCACCGCTGCACCATATTAAACGACAGCGTCAATTAGCACTCAACTCGAACGAAAGATTTTTGAGTTTAGTAAGAATTGTGTCCGTGGAACAACTCGGGGTTTTATAAACCTGAGGCATTGGTGGGAATACAAATTGGCGGTTGGGGTGATAAGACTCAACCACACAAAAAACATGGGGCCTACCCCCCAGAAACACGTGCGGACACAAAAACAAACGACATATTTTCAGAAGTCAAACCGTTTCACCCTTACACCACACCAGTGTAACACGGAGCAGAGGCATGTTGCCGCCCACTGAACCCACAAGACGAGCTGGTTACCAGCCAGAGGACGAAAACCAAGACTCTCTACCGCACTAAGTGCCTAAAGCCGCCGTCACCCTCGAGCCCTACCTCGCGATCTCATCCGATTCGCTACGCACGCGCCGCAAAGGCACCACGAGTACTAGCTAGGGGTCTCGGGCGTTCAGTTGGCCTCACTCTTTCGACCTTGTTACTGGGGAGGAGCAGAGTCTAACGTCATAACCCACACACCTCCTACCAATAGTCCCAGTATGAGTTACACTGCACAAGAAACAACGCTCAAGTACCTGCCCACCGCGCACATGACCAGGGAGAGGCAAGACGCAAGGCCTAAGTACCACACGTTCTGGCTACAGGTCTCTGTGACTCAGAGGCAGACAGACTGAAGACGGAGACTGCACCCGCTCAGCTAGCTGCACGGTTCACCGTGCACGCACTTTTTCAATACATCTTCTCTCCTGCGAAAGGCGGCGGGGAATGCATGCAGACATCTCGACGTGACAGGCGAGTAAATAAATACTCATCAACACGATCTCCCGGCGCCGCCCGAAACCACCAGACGCCCGCACGCAAATTTATCTCATAGAACAATTAGGCGCAGGCCGCATCACCACTCGCAACTTCGGCGCCGCGCATTAACGACACACTCCGCTCTTGAACCACACAAAATGACCAGTGTACAACTATATAATCCCAAGAAGTGAATCTACTTATTTCTCTAATCATAAACATGGAGCAGTCAAAATTCATCTATGCAGAAGTCCTCAATTGCCTCGACCTGACAGGCTCTTGTCCATTCCGGGACCTTCCGCCTTTTGTGAAACACACCTGCCACCACTGAATTATGTGGTATAAATGGGGGTATGGGCAGACAGGAGCGAATGAAATGGAGGAATGCAGTCAATTAGTTGCCTCCACAGGTGCAAAAATAGGAAAAAACCGTTTGTTTGAATTTGTACTTAAAAACCGAGAACACGAAAATAACCTCTTGCACAAGAAATAGAGAAGAAAGTGCATGCACACCTTTGCTGGGCTTTTGGCCTCTCCTCCAAACACCTTTTCCCCCAGTCCTCCTCCCGCCCAGCTCCCTGTCTCGGCAGCTGTTGAAGTAAGCCCACATTTGGTCTGCAGAGACAGTACCCAGTAACACAGGGCATAGTGTCCCAGTTTTGGCCAATGATACATGTTTGTGCTGAGCCTTTTGAAACAAACTCCCCGCTTTCGGCCCTTGGAGACTGGCCTTAGCGAGGAGAGCATTCAGAGGAAAACCCATAGTCCTCCAGAGTATGGTAGACAGCTCACAATATGCCACACGTCGCCAGGAAGGAGAACTGACACGTGGCTCCCCTTATGTTAGTACACTGTTCCACATGAACAAAGACGAAGTTACTGTAATACAGTAAAAAGTGAAAGCCATATAAATAGTTTAAGGACAACATTCCATCAACGCCGGGAGGCACATGGCCTGGGGGGTTTTTTTTGATTTATATTACAAACACGAACCCGCTGAACCTTTTGGCTCTTCTTCAACATTCGCTATATCAGAGTGAGGTATTTCAGCACACTATCTCACAATCCCTGGCAAGAGCAAGGAAACAATGGTTGCCTACATCTAATGGAACACATTTGTCTATACATACACAAAACCTACACACCATACACACACAACACATCACACACGGTGCCATTACAAAACTTGAAGAGAGGGGTTGTGCTAGCTGCTACTAATAAACAATGCAAGCACTGGACAAACACATCACGTATTGACTGTATTGGAGTCCATCACTAATCTGCAAGAGGCCTAAACCAACATCCTAGAATCACAGCCGGAGCTGACACCCAGCAGCACATCACAACAATCAGTATTGATGAACGAACAGAGCTATCCCCTCACCTTGACTTAACTGCTTGCATCACGTTTGGCCTTTGCGCTAGTGTACAGAGCCTCTTCTATGATGTCCGTTCCCACTCATCGGCTATACAGCCGGCAAAAGAAGGAATGGACGAGGGGTGCTTTGTGAAGTGGTAAGCGAACATTACAACAACCAGTTTTTGTGTTGGATAGTACTTCCCAGGTCCCGAATTGTGGACGCATTTAGAGCTAATAACCCAGGAACCACGGCCTAGACCCCCACAGGGCAGTAACAACCACAGTGCTTGTACAATGTATATCCATAGAGACAAAAAGTGCCCCCACTTTCTTTATTGTGGGAGGAACCTTGAATCCTACATAGGATGGCATCAATTAGATGTGGTTGCTGGCCGGCGGTGCAGGTGTGAGTGTTAGTACGTACTTGAACGTGAGTAGAAAAAATGGGGGTTCAAATGCTGGTCCTAGTAGAGTAAAGTAAAAAAAAGTGGAGCTGGTCTATGAGTGGCAGGGGGCCAGGTTCCCAAGGACTCAGGTGGGAATGGGGACAACAGAGGGACGAGGGGACACAAGGGAAGGAGAAGGGAAGGGAAGAAGAAGTCTTAGTTGTACGGGAGTTGTCCGCCCTGTGAATAGAGGACGAAAAAAGGAAAAACAGAACCCATCACATGTCACCGACACACAGCAACCACACAGCTCCCTTCTGGTTCTTTGCCCACTGCTTTCCCACTGCTCCTGCTCCTCTACGAGATTTCATAATTATGTACATATAATTCCCGTTTTTTTGCCCTCACGACTCTGACTACACACACACGATATCCTGGGGCTATTTACGAACATACAGCACGACTTCCCATCCCAATTCCCCCCCCGTTTTTCTCTGCCCTGCCCAATTCCGACATACAGCTTACCGCGTAGCATCTTTCTTCCAGGGATCATTTCTTCGCGCTCAGTCAGTGACTCAATTTGGCAGCAGTGTTCGCCCCACGTCAATTTTTGACGGATAACCAAACCACCAAAAATGTAGGTGGGGGAGGCGTGGTCTCTACGTACACGGAATGCAACGCATGCGCAAATCCGCGACGCTCGCGATCGCATCGACGCATGTATGGGGTACAGCTTCTTCCCTATGCTGTTTGGTGATCAACGAGGAGCCATCGTTTAGAAGACTCTAACGGTAGTCCAATTGGGGCAAAAGAAAAATATTTCGTGTCAATACGCATGCGCAGTGCTTTACAAACGAAACGTCGACGCTGACGTATAGATATATATCGCGACGCCTGCGGTGCAGTAGTAACACAAATGTGCTGTCGTGTGCATCCCGGACCCAGAACTGAGGGACTTGCTTCGACTCAACGCGGCATGAAGCAGAGACGTACAGAATCCCGCCTGCGTAACCAACGGCGACAGTCGCTCTCGCGTCGTCGTTAGCCAGCCATCTGCGCGACTGGATCTTCGCAGTCCGTTCACATCTCAAGCTCCCGCAATGGCTCACAAGACAATAATGGACACTGACGGCAGAGCATCGCCCACCGATGCACACTCGTTCTCGCGCTGCTTCAAGAGCATGCAGGTTGTCCGCATGCACACGGAGAGACAGGGAACATCTGGACCACTTCGTGGGGTATCTTCTCTTGTGCCGCTCTGTCTGGGGATCTATGTCTATCGCTGCGACTACATCACGTTCTGTTTGAGGACTTGAGATCTGACCACTCCTGTCCCGATCAGGCCATGCTCTTCTGCTTCTACTGCTCTTTTCTCGCGGCCATGATCTGTCTCTCCTGCTCGTCTCTCTTTCCACCTCATCTTCCGCAACCACTCGCACAGTGTGTCTATCGCCTCGGCATAGTCGGCTCGACGTACTCTGGGATCGCCATTCTCATCACAGGCTCTCCAGCATCCCGCCTACTATTACGATTCTACTTACTGCCACGCTCTGAACACCCACTGTGCCACATAACGATCCGCATCCTCCTGTTTTCCCTTCCGGGTGCATCGTCATCTCCCTGTGAAGAAGTGTGGAACAGCACGAGTACTCGCCCTCTGTCGTTTCGCAACCTTCCTCTTCTCTCGGTCTCTATCTCCCGAGATCTGTCCCTGGACCCACGTGGTTCTTCAGAGATGGTTCGAAGATCAGCACACTGTGAACTGTCTTTGTGCGTCGCGGGCTCCTCCTATGGAGCGGTGTCTACGATACTACTCGGCGCGGGTTTTACGTCTCTCGCTCTCGGTTCCCCTGCGTTCTCTTCCTTCCTAGCAGTTCAACACGTGGCAGACGTCACCTAGCGTTTCAACAGTCTGCGATGGTCTGCGACAGCCCTCTCATTCCACTATAACACTCTACTGGGTATGGACTATGATAAACGTCCGTATGAGCACTCTGAATCATGTGTCCGCGGAGCAACTCTAATCTTCCAGACCCTGACGTACCAGACTTCAGATGGGCTTATTCATAGTCCATAGTTGTAAGTCAACAGATGTCCACATATAGCACCAGCTTCAGTTCACGTTGTAGCTTTGTTTTTCGGCCTCTTTACACAGCGGGCTAGCATTTTAATTTTATTTATTGGTTGGTGCATAAGTCGTGTCATTAGAGTCCGCCAGTGTGTGCAGCACACGCACAATGTTCACGAAACGACGCAGACCGATGCGCACGCGCATAATGCAACGCAGTCAGTCGATCTCAGCTCAGGAGAGACAATGGAGGAGGTCGAGCACGGGCTCGGTCCAAAGAAGGCGTCGTCGAGTCAAACCGACGGAAGAAGCGGAGAGTAGAGAGACGCCAGATGATCCCAAAGATCGGGGTGAAGGGCAGCAACCACCGGTTAGCGAAAGAGATGATTATGAAAGAGGCGAGGAACCGAGGGATGATGCAAGGAACCACGACGGATCTTCAGGGCAGACAGATATGATGCTCCCCGCGGGTACAACAGAGGACGAGGAAGAGACTGGAGATAGCGAGGAACGGGAGGAAACGGAAGAAGAGGAAGAAGACGATGACAGTTCCAGCGTCCATAGCGACAGTTCCCTGATGGCGGCCTCCCTGAGGAAGATCAGCGAGAAGGTGGGAGAGCTGGAGGCACACATCATGCAGAAGGTGGAGAAGACAAGAGCCAACATTGAGAGAGTTTCTCACTACGCCTGGACAGCTCTCCCGTTCGATAAGCTCCCGAAATGGCTACAAGACAACGAGTACCTGACGGCAGAGCATCGCCCACCGATGCACTCGTTTCTCGGCTGCTTCAAGAGCATGTTCCGCATGCACACGGAGACATGGAACATCTGGACCCACTTCCTGGGGTTTGCCTTCTTTGTTGCCCTCTGCCTTGGGATCTATGTCTACGGCGACTACATCACGTTTCTGTTTGAGGACATTGAGATCTACCAACTCCCTGCCACTGAGCAGGCCATGCTCTTCTGCTTCTTCCTCGCGGCCATGATCTGTCTCTCCTTCTCAGCACTGTTTCATCTCTTCAGCAACCACTCGCAGTCCGTCTACAAGATATTCAGTCGTCTCGACTACTCTGGGATCGCCATTCTCATCACAGGCTCCAGCATCCCCGCCTACTATTACGGATTCTACTGCAGCGACGCGGCAAAGTACACGCACATGGCTGTCACCGGTGTACTCTGCGTGGCTTGCGTGGTGTTCTCGCTTTGGGAGAAGTTTTGCTGCGCACGAATACCGACCGCTGCGGTTCACAACGTTTGTCGCGTTTGGTGTATACGGCGTCGTCCCTGCCGTCCACGTCATTGCTGAAGAAGGCATCGAGAAGCAACATGTCATCGACGCCGGGAAAGGTCTTCTAGTAATGGCGTGTCTCTACATCGTTGGAGCGGTTCTCTATGTGGTTCGGTTCCCCGAGAGGATCTTCCCCGGCAAATTCAACACCTGGGCCAGCAGCCATCAGATATTCCACGTCTGCGTGGTGTGTGCGGCTGTGGTTCACTACAACACCCTGCTGAGTATGATAAAGTACCGCATGAGTTTCGATTCCTGTGCCATGGACCTAGTCGGCACTGCTGCTCGACTTGAGCTCCCCATCACATGACAGCAGTATAATATGTACACACCACACCATGTGAAAGCAGACCTCCACACAACACTACTACGCATACATTCATCTAGTCACATGCACATGCACTACTGTTAATGGCTGTGTATACGTATGTCCGTATTGGGTTTCAATTGTGTGTATACAAAAGTCGGATCCATATTTCCTTTTCCTATGAACAGAATTTCCCTAGATAATCAATTGGTCTATAATTCGCCTAACTCCACACGTCCTGCAGAAAGCGATTTCTCTTCTGCAGTTTCTTGACGTACTCGCTGGCAGCCTGTGAGTCCATGTGTCCATTGTCCTGGATCAGCTCCAGTAGAGCCCCCATCACATCTCTGGCCATGTGACGTGCATCGCTGCGAGAGAGGGAGGGGGAGAAAAAGGAAGAAGGGGTGGGGGAGAAGGTGTGAAATGAAGCATATTCACACGGCTCATAAAGTTTCTAATCAAATCAACATCTCAAACACTATCCCAGTAAAAACAGCCGGCTGGGTGTATCTATGAAGCACACCAATATACAGTGAAACTCTAGAACTCACACTCTAAAAATAAGCCCTTGATTCACTACACTGCTAGTACTTACTATTACCCTCCATATAAAGGACTACTTCGTATAAAATTGGTCCCTTATTTGAATGCTCCACTGGTCTAGAGGAAGGACGTACCCACAGATGTAGAAGTAACCCTGTTTCTCCAATAGCTCCCAGACCGCAGCTCCACTCTCCCTCAGCAAGTGCTGGACGTAGACCTTGTCGGCCTGGTCTCGTGAGAAGGCCACCTGGAGACCGCTGAGGACCCCGTTGTCACGGTAACCCTCCAACTCCTCCTCGTAGATGTAGTCCTCGGCTCTGTGGCGACAGCCAAAGAACAGTACCGTCTCCCCAAGCTCTTTACCTGGACGGGTAATATGGAGGGGGAAGGATGAGGAGAAGAAAGAGTACACTAACAGTGTACCACTTAAATTGTAGACCATAAAGAGAAGGGGGCTGCAAACACAATAGCTAGGCCCATAGTCAGAGCTAGTAGTTTTTGTAGCGTGAGTGATTAGGGTGAGATACTCTGAAAGGTGAGCTTGACCTTTAGGGACAAAAAGGTGACCTACCAATGTGTCGTTGAGTGAGCATGCAGCACATGTGGAGGGTGAGAGAGTATATACCTGACTGTTTGGCAGCCGCTCTGTCTTGGATGAAGCCTCTGAACGGAGCCAGTCCGGTCCCGGGCCCCACCATGATGACCGGCTTACTGGAGTGGTAGGGCAGACGGAGGCTCGAGTGACGGATGGAGATTGGAGCCAGCACCACCTCACCTGCACACACAACGAAACAGAACACTATCTAACATTCCCTGTCCTTGTCTTACAATACAGTTTGCTGGCAGTATTAAAGGCATCTCCAAAAAAGGCATCATTTATTCCCCGAGAGCATGCATTTAACCCCTGAAGGCCTCACTAACGTGGACACTTTCTCTGAACCATTAGTGTTTACATTCGATGGGGTATGGCTGCTCTCCTTTCCCGCCCTCCCTAGTGGCTCACCGTTCTGAACCTTCTGTTGGTGTCTCTTGAGCCACCCTGTGGCCACACCCATATTTCTCCGCCCAGTACGAGTGGTGTAATCAATTAACACTGCGTGACGTGGACTGACGTCGGGTTCATCTGGATAAGTTTCAGTGAAAAATATCTATCTATGTGCATCTTCCTTATGTAGGTATATTGCTGTACTCGGAGGAGAGAGAGAGAGAGACAGGGAGAGAAAAGAAGATATACAGAAGAGAGAAGGAGGAGAGAGAGAAGAGAGGAATAAGAAGGAGAGCCCACCTTGGGTGAGGAGGAGATGGAGTAGTATCTGGCCTGGAGTCGAGGCAGGAGCTCCACCAGGTGGTCCAGAGGAGGTCTGAGACGATGGGAGATCCTCCAGAACTGCCACTAGCGTCCTTCGGTCCTCCAGCACCCACTCTCTGTATTGGTGCTGGTGGCGAGAGGGAGAGGGGGGTTTAATTAGGTACACCAGAGTTGTACATTTTTCATTTTGTTGTAGAAAGAATGGAGAGAGTGAAAGTGTTTGCGCGTGTTTGTGGAAATGGTTTACGCTCACTTTGCCGTCATCACTGGAGGAAGTAATCTTCAGGAGAAATTCCTTGTCTTTAGGGTCAGTGGCGTACTCGGCCAGTTCCTTCAAGACGTTGGTACGAGGAGGGGAGGTGATGTCGACATAGTAGGAGAGCGCCGTGCGGTAGGTGGTGGGACAAGGGAAGGGGGTTTTCTTTGTAGCTGCCTCTGAGGGAAGGGAGAGAGAAATACAGGCATGGGGTAAGACGAAAATGAAGAGAGAAATGAGAGTAAACAGACAGAGTTTTATAAAAGGGAGAAAAGACATAATACTAAGGAACGCAAAGGAAAAGGATAGAGAGCAAAGGGAGATTAAACAAGAGATGGGGGGTGGTATGTAGTTTCACTCACCATCGGTGCTGGTAAGAGAAAAGACGGTGTCTAGATCCACTCCCAGGAGCTCGCCGACCCTGTCCACCAGCCGGGGGTCATTGGACGGGAACAGTGCCAGGTGGTCGCCAGCGACGTAGTTGAGCCTACTGCCAGCGATGTCCAGCTCCACGTGCATGCAGGATCGCTCCCCTCCCTTGTGGAGCTCACGGATCACCCGTATCGGGGCCAGGAATGGGTTCTTGCTATTGAACGGACTGCAGAGAAATCATAATGAAGAGACTAACACGCTGTAATACATAGGCTGCAGAGAAAAAGATAAGTTGGAGCTTGTGAACCCAGAACCCAGGTTTTAGAACTGAGGGGTTCCCTGGGTGGGACCCATACAGATTCTACCACGGGTTAAAACCTTCTAGAGAAGGATGAAGACACGTGCAGAACTGATGTTCTATCCAGCATTTATTAGAGTACATGAGAATATCGTGCTGAACGGTAGTTGAGAGAGGGACTCACGGTTTCTGGTTGGCAAAGGAGCCAAGTCTGAGCGGCTCGCCGGTGAAGACCCTCTCGGGGGAGAGGTCAGAGTGCACGGTGATAGCGTACTCGCGGACGTTGCTTGTGTCCAGGGCACTGTCGACTCCGAACCTCTGGCACACGGCCGGCCACAGCGCCTCGGACCACGTCACAAAATCCTCCTCAATACTGCATACCCAAGGCAGAGACGAAGAGAACATCAAGTTCCGACACACTTTTCAGAGATTAGCAGTTATGGGTTTTGAGCAGTTTAAAAGCTTCGTCGTGACTACTTGCAAAACCATTTGCCTCTGATGTTTAACATGGGTACATACATCACACACAAAATCACATTAATGAGGTAAAAGGTATACACTCACTTGGCGTCATCATCCCCCTCTCCTCTCTGGAAGACTCTGGTGGCTCCGAGTTCCTCAAGACGCTGGTCGACGAAGCGACCCATGGCGTTGTAGTGCTCGTAGGTCTTGTTGCCCAGGGCAAACACAGTATAGCTGGACACCGGTGGGGGGAGGAGGAGAAGGGTTGGGATAGTTGAACAAGAATAGGAGAAAGAAAAGTTAAAAAAACTTTTGCGGCACTTAACACTACCAACACACACACCGACTGCTGCAGGCTGGACACTAACTTGAGAGAGCTGAGATCAACATCTCCATTCTTTAGCCAGTCGTACAGCTCCTGTGCATTGTCAGTGGGGTCTCCTTCTCCGTAGGTGGCCACACAGAACACGGCTAGGGAGCCCTCCATCTCTTCCCCCAGTTTACACACATCCTCCTGCACAGGAAGGGAGAGAAAGAGAGGGGGGAGTGGGCTTCTAAAACAAAACAAGTAATTATCACGAATGGTGTTAAAAAAATGGCAAGTTATCCAGATGTATTTTTATTTTGTGGACTAACCCAATCAGTGCATTCCTCTGGGTCAAAGGTCATCGCCGGCAGCCCGTGGCGAGCGGCTTGTTTGGCAAGACGAGATGAGAACTCCTCAGCAGTTCCTGTCTGGGACCCGTAGAACACCACCACCCGCTTTTTCTGTAGAGAGAGGAGAGATTTCTGTCACGTGGGAGTCACGTGCTTCTCACATGAGCTGCTCACAGTGGATTTCATTCTGGACAGGAAGTTGCCACCTACTCCACCGTAGTTCTCAACTGGACGTCCCAACCTAAGATTGCGCATAAAAAATACATTCACCACAGGTAGATGGTAGATACAAAGCTCACGATAGTGAAGGTACGCTGACGCTCCGCACGCTCTCTTTCTTCCCGCGCCTTCTCCACCTCAATAGCAGGAGACCTACGGCAGCCACGGCAACCAGCAGTAGCACCACGTCCAGTGCACCAACCGCCAGCCCTTTCCCTTCTTCGTCCGACATAACTGAGCTCCCTTCTTTGCGCGCGAACAACTCTATTTATAGCGCATGTGCCTGCACACTGCCAGGTGACGTCATAGCTCATGAAACTCCGCCCCTTCTCTGCCTTTTTGAAAGATGGTAAGTTCTGTACTCAGCGTCCCCACTGACTTGTTGTGTTCTGTTTCATCATACAGGTACTAGTTAGCTTGCTGAGACTGGGAGCTAGAAGAATCCCCATGACCTCCAAGAGAGGCAAACAGAACTTTTACAAAGGCAAGCAGCTAGCCATTCACTAGCTAGTCTTGCTAATCTCCTTCCCCTGGAGAGTCTACTATAGCTAGTGAGGCTACCCCTCACAGTTGTACTAAGCTCATACGTATGTAGTGTTCTATCAGTTTTCCCACTGTGCCCAGGTCGTGGTGCCAAGTCAACCGGAAGACACACAAGAAAAGGTTGAAATAAAGAAGCAGTCCTTGTGTCCATTCTAAACGTAATGGTTCTCCTCTACCGTATATGTGTAGGTGGCTTTATTGTGATGAGAGAGAAGATCCCTGAGCTGGTTGTGCCATCTTTAGAAGGTTTTGAGGTATAATTTTACATTACAATCTAAGGCATTGATTTATAGCTATCATCAATGTAAATACATCATCTGCAGCTGAAGCCCTATGTGTCCTACAAGGCACCTTACGTCAGTGGAAAAGTTATCACGGCTCAGGACATTCTAGATGTCGCTGGACGTCCAGAGCCTAGCTAGCTATGACATCATCATTACATCACCATCAAATCACCATTATACAGTGAACCTCTTGGAGAAATTGAAAAGCTATTGTTCAGAGTGGGCCACTAGTTACCCTCGGAGCGCATGCGCAGAGAGGGTACAGTAGTTGGGGGTCTGTCTGTTTGTCTCTTACTCTATATTTCACTCCTCGAACGTCTGTTCGTCCCAGAAACGATACCATCTACCCAACGGGCGGCGAAGGTCAGGAAATATGTGGGGTTTTCTCTGAAAATGATCCCTCCGTTGCAGAGCTAGAGCGCTTCCAGCTCGCCAATTTTATCGCTGGCGGATAATGCGCATGCGCTTATAAGTTCGACCGGGTCCGCTTGCTCTGTCTCTATCACAAGAATCACAACGAATGGCGTGTATCGACTCTCGCGTGCTATCTACTACTGTAGCTAGCCCGTGTCAGACTCTCTGCGAGCTACTTCGCGCCGAGGGTTTGCACTTTAGTGCTCATTTACACTGATCCCATTCAAGTAATGGTGGTGGTCTGATGGATAAGCACCCGCTCTCTTGATCATGAGATCCTGGTTCGATCCCGGGTGTGTGCGATGTAATAGGAGTGTTGGCTGTTGGTAAGTATAAGTGGAACGTTTTTTCATCACTTCTCAAGGCCATCACTTCTCAAGGCCAGCCCGAGTGGCTAGGTGGTTAGAGTCGGACCATAGGTGCCGGGTTCGTATCCCGATCCCGCACTAAAGTGTCAGGTGGTCCAGAGCATTGGCTGGGAACAGCTCTGGTTCCTCCCCTTACCCACAAATCTACCACTGACCCACGTTTCTCAAAGGGCAGCGTATAGTTCGGCATAGCACTGCGTCCGTAGACGTCTGTCTGGAGAGATGAAGGGCTGGCCGTTTTTTTTTCAACCTTAGTTGTTTTTTTTGCACTAAACAATCCACGGGTAATACGAAAATTAATAGAGATGAAAGGTTGACAATTTTTCAACCTTATATATATTTTTGCTCTCAAACAGAAATAGGGCTGGCCTTTTTATTGAAAATAATCCATGGAAATGGTGCATAACATGCTGTTCTTTTTGATGCATGGTCAAGACCATCAATTGTGGTGGTGCCACACTTGCGTATGGGTTCCACATTTCTATAGAGTGTGCCAAGGGTTTGCACTTTAGTGCTTTTCATTCATTCAGAGGACGTTTCGCAAATGCCCCCACTTTCATTTTATCGTTTTCCACTTTGCGCTTGCAGTTTTACAAAACAATCTACAAAAGGTGAATGACTGCTACACGTAGTGAAAATAACAATTATAATATCCTAGAATTCTGTGAAATAGCTGTGTTGTTGTTAACAGTCACGACGTGATCATATGGCAAGCAAGAGCTGTGTTGAAGCTAGAATTGTAGTGTAGGTACATGTATATTCTAGAAGAAATAACGTATTGTAGTGTGTTCCAGGGGGCAAATTGAACAGGGATCATTCAGACTGCGTCACTCTGCTGTGCTCCTCGCAGCTGAGCCTGTAGCAATGCCATCTGTCGCCGCATGTCCTCCAGCTGCAGAAGAAAAGTTAGAGTTTGGAAATAACGGTGTGAGGAGAATGAGAAACAGACCTCTTTTTCTTTAGCCTGGAGAGCAGCTGCCTTGACAGCATCGTCTGGTGTCCCTCCTACGTTGTAGTCAGTGTATTCAGAGACCTTGCGACTGCAGGGGAGAAAGAGAGAGAGAGATGGATACATCACAAGGTGGAAGTCGAGACTAACCCGGGAGAGCCTTGCATCAGTTTCTTCTTCCTAAAGTTCTCGTAGTGGACGTCTTGAGTGTAGTCCTTCAGATCTTGCATGTGGGTCCTGAAACATGGAGGGAGGGGGGTTAGAATCAGGGGGTCACAAATGATTGTGTCTGTCCTTACCTGATGAGCATCGTCCTCAACTTGACAAAGTCACAGTGATCTTTATTCTCAACTGTGGAACAAAACAGACAGTTTTGCCATGGTTCATACAGTGGTTGTCAACTAACCTTCGACCACTCCCCAGGGGTAGAGCCGCCCCCTCACTCTCTTCCCATTCACCTCTAGCAGTGTGTTACTGCCCACCACCGCAAACGGTATTATCTCCTACAGACACAGTACATACATACATAATGGAGAGACACGACACAGTCTGTGCTCCCCAGGTCCATTTCGTAAACCGTAAAAATGGTAACATTTGACATAGTTATATAGCAGGACATGATGCCGGCTCTCATTCCACTAGTGCTACATAACGCTGTCTCCTAGTACGGAGGTATAGGTATGTATGGAATGTCGTTCTAGAGCATGGAGAAACCTTGAGCTCCTTGATGTCAGCGTTGTCCTCCTCATCATCGTCTGTCTCTCCGGTGTAGATCTTGATTCCGTTCTCCTGAATCTCGTTCATTATCTAGACACACCGGCAGGGAGGGGGGGAGAGTGTGTGTATGTTGGGGGGGCACGATCAATACAACAACCACATAGAGACACAAGGAGGGCTGTATAGTCTTTACACACGCTATGAATACACTTGGCATCTCAATAGATTCCCAAGACCACGTTGTACACAGCCAACAGTGGACTGAGTCAAGCAAGGTATGTCTGAATTAGAAAAACTTGGTGACCATATAGAGCACACCTTCATTTTGAGGGCCTTGATTTCCTTGGGTGTGAGCATGTCAGCCTTGGCTATGACAGGAATGATGTTGACTAGATTGTGGAGCTGCTTCATGAACTCTATGTCGAGTGGCTTCAATCTGAGGTGGGAGGAAGAGGGGGAGAGGTGAGGAGGGAGGGGATAAGGAGTTGGTGGTAAAGAGGAGTTAGGGGGGAAAGAGGAAGGAGCAATGAGGGAGAGAGGGGAAGGGCACTCACCCGTGGCCGAGAGGGTTGATGAAGTAGAGGCAACAGTGGACGCGATGGTCTTCAATGTTCCTTCGGTTGAGGCCTGACTCATCTCTCAAGTACTGGTCATACTTCTCATTGCAGTAGTCGATGACTGGCTGCCAGCTAGAGAGAGAGGGGCAAGGAGGGAGAGGGAGAAAGAGGAAGGGGGAAGAGCTTATAGACACGTTCCCATGGAAAAGTCGGTAGCAACACGTGTACAGTGGATAATGGATCAATCTTTGAGCCAACTCAGTCAATACATGTCCAATATATGTCACATACAACATCACTTACTCCTGCGGAACACTGTCTGTATACATAAACCAGAGAGAGAGAGAGTGGTGTGGCTCACAATACAGGCAAACAGAGGCCACTGTTTGCCAAGCAGAAAGCATCCAGCACTCACCACTGCTGGTTGTTGACAGCATCTCCAAAACCAGGCGTGTCCACTACAGTCAGTCTTAGCTTCACTCCCTTCTCCTCAATGTCCACGGTGGTAGCATCTATACTCACCGTCTGGTCAATGCGCTCTGCACACACCCAGCAAGAGTTACTCAACACATAACTCAGCAAGGCATGGTTGCTAGCTAGCTAGCGGGTCTTCCGCGGACTTACCACCGGCTGCAGGAGACGTCTTGTTGCCGAAGAAGTTAGTCAGGAAAAGGGACTGGATGAGGGTGGACTTCCCGAGACCAGACTCGCCTGCGAAGTGAGGTAAAAACGTGACTATAGCACCAGTTAGAGAGGGAGGTAAAACTGACCGACTACCATGAGCGTGAACTCGAATCCGCGCTTCACGGACTTTCTGTGGGCAAGGAAGGGCAGGTTGTGGAACCCCAGCTGGTCCGTCATCTTGCTGCTCAGACACAAGGTGTGCAAACAAGCTCACTCTCTTTTCCACCCCAAGAGAGACACACCTAGTCCCGCGGCGAGAGAGGACGGAATGCAGATATCGTTGATAGCGGGACCGTAATTAAACGCGCGTTTCTAATAATGCGAAAGAAATTTTAACAATTTAGCGCGACGAATCACAAGTCTGTTTTCTCACTTGACTCTCTGTCGTCTCACCGACGTATTATGAAGGTCTAGAAGCATCTTCTCGAAGACCCAGTCGAGTGTGTAAAGATGGACCCCCAGCAAAACATGCACTTCATCTCGCTGATTCCCGGGATGGCCCCCAGCAGAACGAATCAACCAACACCGCTGCCCCCGGGGATCGGCACCTCTCTCTCCCCCATGATGATCCCTCTCGCCACCAGCGACACAGTCGTCATGTCTTCCTTCAGCCAGCCACCTCAAACCATTAGCCTGATACAGAGCATGGCACCTGGTGGGCCCAGACCCAGATCGACTCAGGTGATCCTCCCACAGGGTCTGGCTCCGCCCCATGACGTCATAGCAGTGTCGGCACCAGCTCCGGTGCAGCCTCGGGTCCCGCCAGTTCACCTCTACAAATGTTCGACCGGAGGGGCTTCTGGTGTGTGTGTGTGTGTGTATGTGTGCAATGTCCTTACTACTATCTTTTCAACCCCTCCTCCTTCCTCACATTGGCACAGAGGTATCTCGTGAAGCAAGTGAGCGGAGTAAAGAGAAGGCCTCTCTGGACCAGTTACAGAAGGCCTACACTGAGCTCAACTCTAGGAAGATCAAAGACCCACTTAGCTCCTTCCTGCCTGACATCCCTGGTGAGGGAGGGTTTTGGCCACATGGTGTGCGTGTAGTGTTGGTATTTTTGGCGATCGTTTCCAACAGGTGAATTTGACAGTGCAGAGCCACCTGGGACCACGTAAGGCAGTACAGTAACAAGTCTAACACAGTGGAACCCCCACGAAGAAGAAAGTGTTGTGAGGTGTCTTTTAAATTTCATACAAGAAACTGTTCTTGGAGAGAGAGAATGTGCCCTTTTTGAAGAGGTGTCCTCGTTTCAGGGGTGTCCTTAGAGAGAGGTTCCACTGTATATAGTCCCACGTCTTTCTCTATCTTTTATCCCTCCTCTTTTTCCCACTCTTAGAGAGAGGTTCCACTGTATATAGTCCCACGTCTTTCTCTATCTTTTATCCCTCCTCTTTTCCCACTCTTAGAGAGAGGGGTTCCACTGTATATAGTCCCACGTCTTTCTCTATCTTTTATCCCTCCTCTTTTTCCCACTCTTAGAGAGAGGTTCCACTGTATATAGTCCCACGTCTTTCTCTATCTTTTATCCCTCCTCTTTTTCCCACTCTTAGAGAGAGGTTCCACTGTATATAGTCCCACGTCTTTCTCTATCTTTTATCCCTCCTCTTTTCCCACTCTTAGAGAGAGGTTCCACTGTATATAGTCCCACGTCTTTCTCTATCTTTTATCCCTCCTCTTTTTCCCACTCTTAGAGAGAGGTTCCACTGTATATAGTCCCACGTCTTTCTCTATCTTTTATCCCTCCTCTTTTTCCCACTCTTAGAGAGAGGTTCCACTGTATATAGTCCCACGTCTTTCTCTATCTTTTATCCTTCCTCTTTTTCCCACTCTTAGAGAGAGGTTCCACTGTATATAGTCCCACGTCTTTCTCTATCTTTTATCCCTCCTCTTTTTCCCACTCTTAGAGAGAGGTTCCACTGTATATAGTCCCACGTCTTTCTCTATCTTTTTATTCTCCCTCCTCTTTTTTCCCACTCTTAGAGAGAGGTTCCACTGTATATAGTCCCACGTCTTTCTCTATCTTTTATCCCTCCTCTTTTTCCCACTCTTAGAGAGAGGTTCCACTGTATATAGTCCCACGTCTTTCTCTATCTTTTATCCCTCCTCTTTTTCCCACTCTTAGAGAGAGTTCCACTGTATAGTCCCACGTCTTTTTCTATCTTTTATCCCTCCTCTTTTTCCCACTCTTAGAGAGAGGGGTTCCACTGTATATAGTCCCACGTCTTTCTCTATCTTTTATCCCTCCTCTTTTTCCCACTCTCGTCTCGTGTCCTCCGACAGGCTGCTGGATCTGGTAGAGAACAAGCCGATAGGAGGCAAAGAGTTCCACGGTCTGTCGGGACAAGCTCTTCTCGGATTCAGACTCCTCCCTGGGCCTGTGAGACTCCACCCACCACACACTCGGAGCTTCTTAATAGGCTTGCTTTACTTCACTATGGGTTAGACAGTTGAGACTATATAATTCCTTCTTTTCTCTGTCTGTAGCTACCAGAGCAGTTCAGGATAGACCCGCCGTCCATGACTGGCCACACCAAATCTCGAAAGAAAAAGAAACACAAGCACAAGAACATCGATCGCTCAGAGGACAAATCCGACACCAGCCACACACCTCCCAAATCATTCAAACTGCCCCCAGATGCCTACTCCTTCATAAGACACGAGTCCCACATGTCGACTTTCATGATGCAAGGTTCGGAGACGGTGCTGCATTCGGGAGGGGGCGGGGCGGGGATGGTGGGAGGAGGAGGAGGGATGGTGGCTGGAGGGGGGTTGGTCGCAGGCGGTGGGGTCTCCGCCGGCCAGATACTCCAGCAACAACCAGTCTATGCCAGTCAAGGTAGACTTCAGAGTCACTCAGTGTTTCATTGTGCGTCTTTCTCTGTTGCTTATTATAGGTGGCACACATTTAGTTGGAGGTGGCCTCCAGGTCTTGGGTGACAAGAAGAAAAAGGTGAGCAATTAATCAGTAGTACTAAGGGGCATGAGTTAATCTTATTACCAGTAATGTTCAGTGAAGTAAAATTATTGCATGCTTGCCACCATTTTGATGTTCCTTTTCTTTGACACAGAAAAAGCGAGACAGAGACGAGAAGAAAAAGAAAAAGGATAAGAAGAAGAGAAAGCACCATCCTCCCCCGGATGGTACTGGTCACCCATCACACCCTCCCCTCCCACACACCCACGTGACTCCTCCCCCTCCCTCCACAAATGCTCCCCACTTCCCACACCCTCACAGCTAGCACATCACCAAACTGACATGACCAAGCACATGACTGCTATAATAACACTAGGGATGAATATTGATTTTAAATTCAATTGTCCGGTGCTGGATAAGTCATTTAGGAATATTCAACATTAATTGCCTAGCAACCTGTCTGAAACTAGCTGGAGGAGGTGCTTTGATTACCAGGGGCTTCCCGTCTCTATGGTAATCAGGAATGCATAGCTGGTAGGCATGGAGACACATGGGCGAGCGTTTGATGAGTTTCATGTTCTTTAGTTTTCTCTTGAGATTAGGAACTGCTCTAAAGAGAGGTCCTCCGAATTTATAGTCCCCCACCACTGGACAGAGGAGGGCGTCAGCCAGGTGGACTCTGACCTGGGGATTAGTTAGATTACAGAAGATTACTGACTAGTATATAGAAGAATACAGACCGGAGGGTTAGAATACTGAGTAGTATAGAATACTGAGTAGTATGCAGAAGATTACTGAACTGGAGGTCTTCACCTGGTGTTTGAAGCCAGTGGCAGTGGAGGCTTCAACCAGACCACACCTCTGACCACAGGAACTCAACACTCGGTACTCTGTGACTGCCATTTGGATGCCAAACGGCAGGGTCTGCCCCACCACCTTCTGGATATTGGATCAAGAGAGATACCACAGACAGCGAGAATACGAGGGCAAAATTTTGTAGTAAATTTCTCGGGCAAGAAAAGACTGAGTGTCATTTTTACATTAGTCTTATTCTGTGGAGAAACATTTCATTTACTTGCAGAGTTTCACAGGAGAAAATGTGGTTCTTGAACCATGAAGTTTTCAGCTACATATAATATTACCTCATGGTAGAGGTCAACTTTGTCCTTCCTCAGAACAACCTACATACAGTCATATATACAGTAGAACTGAAGATCTAGGGGAGAGAGGATTACACATTGTACCCTGTGCATATGATGTCTTGGGCTGTTCTGAGTGGCCAAGTCCTTGGTCCCTAGTGGTATAGTTACCCTCCCTGCAAAATACTGTTCTAGAGTGTGCATACTGCGTTACAAGTCAGCAATTCATACCTTCAGGTTTTGAAGGAACATTAACTGTAATAGCCCTGTGGGTGGCAAGATTCTTTCTCGAAAATCGAAAATACTCTGTAACTTGGGACAATACCAGTATGTTTTCTTTATCCTTCTCTGCTGAAACAGTTCGGCTAGTCTTCGTGCTGCAGATGAGTCTCTACTCAGTAGAATGACTCCGGATGTATCACTGCCAAATTTCACGGCAGTAGCTATAACCATTAGCAAGTGGACTCTGCCCGGCTCACCGATCGAGGCGATGGGCCAAGTTAGGTGGGTCTGGAGAGTCATACTGCCAGTGGTGCAAGTTTGAGCAGAGGTCTTCAGCTACCTTGGGGCCAGCTGGATTCGACACACGTGACGACACACGTGACGACACAGACACGAGAGCAAAAGACAAAGGTGGAAATCATTAGCTAAGTATATGGAACGCATAGATAAAAGACGGATTACGGACGGTTGGCTCACTGTGCACTGACAATCCGGACGGCTTGTTCAGAGCGATGACATCACCTGCACAGCCAATACGTCATCGCCTGGTCTCAATGCTAATCTGTCAGACTCACGATCTTTGTAGAGGACAAGGCTTTCTAGATCGTCCAGTGGAAGAAGAGGTTTGCCCCGGTTAACAGCCTCTCTGATTCCCGTGGCGGCCTTTGGCGCATGACTGGCGGCCAGCCTGACGTGCCTGGCGACCCGGCAACTCGGCAGCATAACGACCAACCGTATTTCGTCTCCACGTGGGTTAGCCACGCCTCTTTTTCATGTTGCGCATGCGTAGCTGGCCATGGCTGCGTCTTCCCGGGATCCGGATCGATCCCAGACTAGACTTGAACAATGCAGCTTTTATCGCAGCCGGGAAAAGCAGTGTCTAAAATTATTGTTTGACATCAGTACACACTCTATGCAAACAGTGAAAGCACCTGGGACACATGCCCCAGGTGGGTCTGAATGGCAGAACTCTGCTTATGACCAGCAGAGTGTGCACATTTTTGTTCTATATAGAACTTTGGTGGCAAATTACAAGTTATTGCACAACAATGTCAGTAATGCAGCATCAACACACAAACAGAGCCAGTACAACCTACATTGATTGTGTGACTAATGAAATAAAAAATCATTGAAACCTAGCCACCTAGCTAAAATGGTGAAGGAAATTATGGAGTGTCAGCCATTTCTGACACCCGTTTAGAAGAAGAAAGAGGGCGTGTCTCTCCATCAGCAGAAGCTGAAGCCGACGGTTGAGGTGTGCATGTCTTGTGGTGCCCTAGAAACCGCAGAAAGTAGAAGACAGTCACGGCTGCCACAGCTGCTCCCAACGCCATCCCAGCTAGGACATCCGTGGGGTGGTGTCTGTGGTCTGAGATTCGCGATAGAGAAATTAGGATGGCCAGAGAGAGGGAGGCGAGCATAAGGAATAGTTTGAGGCCCGAGCGATGGTAGAAGGTCCTCACGCTGGCAAGATAGAGGAGGAGGAAGACAAAGGAATAGGTGCTGGCTGAAGCGTGTCCCGAGGGAAAAGAGAGGTGGGAGTCGTGAGTTACCCTATCAATGTCTTCTACGTCGTCCCTGCCGAGGCATTTGTAGTCCGTGATGTACACCTGGTTGCCGAACGCGTCCGTGCAGTTGAACGCGCCGAAGTCAGGCCGACAGACGGAGAAGAAGTGAGGTCGCAACCGACCCACCGTCACCTTGCCGATGTCGGTCAGGACTATTGTGATTCCGGCACCTATTAGGAACCATCGGATGTGGAATAGGGTCCGCAGAAGCCAGGGAGAAACTGCGACACTTCGCCCGCCGCAGAACGAGATTCGCTTCGACTGGCACTCGGGGCGTTTCTTGTAGAAGCGCTCGTAGAGGTTGCCGAGGAAAATGGCGGTGAGCGGGACAAGGAGACAGCCGAGGACCAGGAGCCAGGTGGGGACGGCTGGGTGGAGGGAAAACGGGTAACGGAGCGTCTCGTCGTCGCAGAAGAAACCTCTGTCCACGTAGAGGCCTCTCTCTGAAGCCGTCTCCAGAAACACCACCAGGACTCCCAGTATAACCAGGACCACCAGGTCCGTGGTGACCTTCCACCATGACCATTGCAGTGTCATCTTCTCCGTGGCAGTGCGAAAAACTCTAGCTAGCTAGCTATAGCTGCGCACGAACTCAGTACGCATGCGCATGACGGGGACTTTTATGGGAGCGCTGAGAAGTCGAAGTAAGGTTGAATCACCCAGAACTCGTTTTAACTTTTCTCTGTGCTCATTTGCACTGTTTCTGTGAGTGCAGTTACTACTGCAACTTGACGTTGATGGCATAAAAACATCTTTTATGGTCGACATATTTTACACATGACCTTGTATAATACTGATATAATATATATATAGCCCAGTTCCCCATTCATCCATATTACTCCTATGTAATCACAATTACCACATTATATTATTATTAATTCCTAGTTCCAAATAATAACAATACTCAGAGCACACCATCAACCACGCACCCAGAGCACAAATCGAAACAACCTGAAAGAGAAGTTATTATTGTGAGAACACGAGCGCGGCCAAAATTACCAAATTTTGCTGCATCAGGGTTTACTAAACCAAAGGTCACGAAACAAAAGAAGGAACAAATGTTACTGATAATTATTATAACATGGGTCGACTGAAACAAAGGAAAAGAGTAAACCATGCCCTATATGAAGTAATGACCATAATATTGTTCACAAACTTTAAGAACTGCACTCATGAAAATGAAATTCACCAAATAATGCAGCTCTAGTGAAAAGTATATAGTGGGAAAATGGTCGGTACTTACGTGGCCTCATTTCCCTGCTCCAGGCATCTGATAGTGCCCCACACTCTGGCTCCATACCTTTTTTTCCATCCATTCCTCCCTTTTCTTTCGTCATCTGAAGGACCAGAAGCAGCTGGTTGGACACGGAAGAAAAGGAGACGACGAGAGAGGAGAGAGAGAGAGGAGAGGTGGGGCGGGACAGATGAGGAGAAGGTGTTGGATTACGCAAAATTGCCACTTTCATAGCAGTACATACACACGTATTTGAAGCAAAATCGGCCAAGATCAAAGTAATATGGGAGAGATAGAAAGTTGATGAGGGCTACATGGGCAGTTTCGGCAAACCACAGCCGCTGCACGGGTTCCTTGGGTACCCCGGGGGTTTCCCCACCACTTGCGGAACAATCTGCGACTGGTGCATGGGGGAGAGAGGGAATACTGGCTGGGTGTGTGGAATACACAGGCCTGCGGAGTCACAATTGCAGGGGGGGGGGAGAGGACGAATGATGAGGGGACCTTGGGGAGGCGGAAATAAGTTCTTTTTGCAGTACTCCATATTTACTTTCACTCTCAGCCAACAATACACAACATAGAAACTTCTGACGGGGGGAGAACACACTTGCAAATTTTGGCGATATTCCCACAAAAATTTTGTTTTAGTGGGAGGCAACATTTGGAAACACATGTTTTTTTCCGGAGAAAGAGTACATCTTGTGGTATAGCTACTTTCCAGCATTGCCGCGATGCCTCGTGACAGCGTCAAAAGTTGTGTGATGTTATGTGTGTACATACGGTTGACGGATTGAAACACTGAGGTTGTGCATGCTGGGAAACGGCTGCTGTGCTGCGCCACCTGGGTGAGGATGGAGAGGCTGGATGAGAGGAGGTGGGAGGAGGAGGAGGAGGAGTATATCGCGGGAAGAGATAAGGGTTGTTTAGTGAAAGGAGCAGAAGGAAGCGAGGAAAACTGTAAGCATCACTGAACATACCAATCATTGACGAATGTGGACTGGCAATAAACTGAGAAGATACAGAAATTAAACATTACATCATCATTACATCCAACGTAACTACCTGAGGCATGCCATCAGAGGACAGGTGGGAGGGCATAATGAGAGAAGACTGAGGGAGGAACGAGACGAGAGGCATGAAAATCGAATTATACACAACAGGGGAGGAGGGAAAAGGAGGAGGTGAAGGAGAGAGGTTCCCAACAGTTGTGAAGGTAGGTCGAGTAAGCCGCTATGCCACCACGGCCGGTTGCTGAGTCAGCATGTCGCTGGAAAGAAAATGGAGTGGAGAGCGAGGAGAAGAGATAAGAGCTGGTCCGGAAAACTAAGAGCAGGCTCCTCTAACTAAGCAACTTTTTCTAGAATTCAGAAACAAGAAGCCCAGAAGCTACACTATGGCAATCAGAACAATATGTAGTGAAGCGGGCATTAGGCTGGTCTATTGCATCCTCGATTGCAGTGACGATTTTTATAGTATGGAGTTAATGGAAAAGAGAGGGGGGGGTTAGGGGGGGAATAGAGTTACAGCAATAGCTGGTACGCTGTGTGGATATCTGGATTGAGGAGGGAGAAGGCGTCTCCAAAAGTAAACGGAAAGGGGTCAATGGACGTCTAAACAACTACATGGGCATCCTTTGGATCTTAACCGTTGAATTTTCCCGCAAAGGCTTCCATGGTAAAAGGTTAAATATAGGGAGGAACAAGAAACAACACGAGAAGGGGAAAAAGGACTGTCAGGGACGGGTGCTACAAAGAACAAGGGGCGGCAAAGTGACGGTACACAAAGGCTAATATAGGAGGTCGCAGTGCAAAA